TCCACATTCTCAACTGAGAATGATCTTATAGTTCAGAATTTTAATTTTAAATATTATGCTGCTATGTCTTTGACAAAATCACAGTGTAAAAACCATTGTCAATTCTATTGTTCAGTATTTCTTCTTCACAAATTTGTTAGGTAAAATCCAGACAGATTTGGGTACCACTTTTTCAAAAATGTGTTTTATTTATCTCAGAGAGGAAAGGAAAGGGAGAGAGAGATAGAAACATCAATAAGAGAATCATTGATCAGCTGCCTCCTGCACGCCCCCTACTGGGGATCGAGCCCGCAACTCCGGGCATGTGCCCTTGACTGGAATCGAACCTGGAACCTTTCAGTCCACAGGCCGATGCTCTATCCACTGAGCCAAACCAGTTAGGGCTTGGGTACCACTTTTTATTAGGAAATTGCCTTTTTGGTCTTGTTTGCCAGGGAATTTAGACCGATATTTATTTCTCATCTGAAGTAAATGGCTCAAGCCAGGTGCTTGGTATATCAATTTCTGCACTTTTTTTAAGTGCCTAGGAGAGTGCCTGGTCATATTAGATGCTCATAAATATTTATTTAATTAATGAAGATCCTTAAGAATAGAATATTGTATCAATATTAAAAATATTAGTTTTAAAGAATATTCAATTATATGTGAAATATTAATGATATAATTTCAAGTGACAACTAAGGTTGCAAAATTATGTATGCACAGCATGTTTGCAACTTAGTGAAATATATATTTTTTTGTTTGTGTGTTTATTACACAATATTATACGATACCACATAAATATGAAGAGTGGTTATTTCTTTTTTTAATTTACTTTTTTTATTGTTTAAAGTATTACATATGTCTCCTTTTTCCCTGATTGACATCCCCTGCCACTCCCATCCCTGAAGGTAAGCCCCCACTGCTCCAGTGTCTGTGTCCATTGGTTATGCTAATATGCATGCATACAAGTCCTTTGGTTGATCTCTTACCCCCCACCCGCCATTTGTCTCTGGATCTATTTTTGTTCATTAGTTTACATTGATCCTTATATCCTACATATGAGTGAGATCATGTGATATTTATCTTTCTCTGACTGGCTTATTTTGCTTAGCATAATGCTCTCTAGGTCCATCCATACTGTTGCAAATGGTATAAGTTCCTTCTTTTTTATAGCAGCATAGTATTCCATTGTGTAGATGTACCACAGTTTTAACCACAGATGAGTTAATCCACTCATCTGCTGATGGGCATTTAGGCTGTTTCCAAATCTTGGCTATGGTGAATTGTGCTGCTACGAACATAGGGGTGCATACATCCTTTCTGACTGGTGTTTCTGGATTTTCTCATTGTTGTTTTGATTTGCATCTCTCAGATGATTAGTGACTTTGAGCATGTTTTCATATTTCTCTCGGCCTTCTATATGTCCTCTTTTGAGAAGTGTCTATTTAGGTCCTTTGCCCATTTTTTTGATTGGATTGTTTATCTTCCTTTTGTTAAGTTGTATGAGTTCTCTGAGAAAGAATAACAAATTTGAAGGGATCACAAAACCAGATATCAAACTATATGACCAAGCCACAGTACTCAAAACTGCCTGGTACTGGAACAAGAACAGACATGTAGACCAATGGAACAGAACAGAGAACCCAGCAATTCACCCAAGCCATTATACTCAATTAATATTTGACAAGGAGGCAAGAGGATACAATGAAGTCAAGACAGCCTCTTTAATAAATGGTGCTGGGAAATTTGGTCAGATACATGCAAGCCCACTGCATGGGAGAACATATTTGCCAAAGAGTGGTTATTTCTAAGTAATGTTAAATGTGATTTTTCTTTTCTTAGACCTGATATTTTCCTTACCTTTTGCAACAGCATGGATGGACCTGGAGGGTATTATGCTAAATGAAATAAGCCAGTCAGAGAAAGACAAATACCATATGATTTCACTTATATGTGGAATCTAATGAGCAAACTAAAACAAAATATGAACAGATTCTTAGAGAACAGACTGACAGCTGTCAGAGGGGAGGTGGTTGGGAGCTGGATGAAAAAGGTGAAGGGATTAAGCAAAAAGAAATACTCATAGACACAGACAACACTTTATGATGATTACTAGAAGGAAATGGGTGAGAAGAGGTAGAAGAGGGTATAGACGGGATAAATGGTGGTAGAAGGAGACTTGACTTAGGGTGATGAACACATAATACAATATACAGATGATGTATTATAGAATTCCTGAAACCTATATAATTTTATTAACCAATATTACCCAAATAAATTCAATAAATATTTAAAAATAATTAAACAAGAAAAATATTTTAAAGTATACTATAATGAGCTTATTATTTTAATTTAACTTTTAATGAAATCAATGAACAGTTTAAAATCTCAAATATTATAATAGCATATATAAAAATATTCCTTGCCTATTCACCCCTTTTCTTGTGCTTTAAACTTGTAACCAGTAAACTCCCTTCTAATCTTCTATAACCTCATCCCAATTTCTCTTTTTTAAAAAATATATTTTTATTGATTTCAGAGAGGAAGGGAGAAGGATAGAGAGAAACATCCATGATGAGAGAGAATCATTGATCGGCTGTCTCCTGCACACCCCCTACTGGGGATCAAGCCCAGAACCCAGGCATGTGCCCTTGGCCGGAATCTAACCTAGGACCCTTCAGTCCGCAGGCCAACACTCTACCTGCTGAGACAAACCAGCTAGAGCCCAATTTCTCTTTGTCATTTTAACATCTTGCTTTAGTCCCTCCCCAAACTAATTTGGGCTTCATCCAAGTTCTGTTGTTTTCTTTACTACATTTGTTTTGACCTTTGAAGCTCATAATGCCATTTAGTGTTTCTCATTGTCACTTAGAATAACGTCTTCACCGTGCTCATCTTTGTAGGAACAACTTCCAGAAAGCCTTCCTTGCTTCAGGAAATGCAGTCTCAAGTGCAGCACAAACACATTCAGATTTGATTGTGTCACACAGAACTCAGAACCTGGAGACAGAGCAAGCACCTCCTTCACCCTGCTGGCCTTGGCCTCTCTCCTTACTAGTCTAAATGTGTAACTTGACAAGGGAGATAAAGGGCTTTTCTTCAGAGTTTGGGTATTATCATTTTTAAATAATCTGACACTGATTTCTTTTTTAAAAAATGTTTTTAAATTGATTTTGGAGAGAGAGGAAGGAAGAGGGAGAGAGAGATAGAAACATCAATGAGAGAGAAACATCATCAGTCGTTGCCTCCGGCAGGCCCCTAATGGGGATTGAGCCTGCAGCCCAGGTGTGTGCCCTGACCAGGTATCAAACCAGTGACCACTTGATGTATGAACGATGCTCACCCAGCTATGTCACACAGGCTGGACTTGACACTGATTTCTTAAGGATTCTGTTTCAAGAAGTTTCAAAAGTCAATGGGTATTTCACTCTCCACGGTTTTTTTTGTTTTTTTTTTTTTTTTTTTTTTTTACTATATTCTCTATTCCGTTTGGGCCTGCACGTGAGGAAATAGTGTGTTTTCCTTGGCAGTTTCCATCTGAGCCCTAGCACAACTTATTGCAGGTAGATGTCTAAGTCTTGGACTAGTTCTGGGAAATCCACCAGGCTGTGTGTGCAGAGGTGTTAATGGGAAAATGAAGAAGACAACCAGAGCCTAGGTTGCAAGTAGAAAAATACAAACTTCTCACTGAAGTCACCCATTTGTGGGAACTCCATTTGAGGAGAGATGCAGTGGAGGCTAAAAGGAGACACTTTCAGGCAGGTGAATTGTTCCCTGGGCAGGAGCTCTGGTGTAAAAGACCAGCTTCATCAGAGCCCAAGTCAGCTGTGGATCCTCAAGGATTGAGTTTGTAGCTTCAGTCTAAATTTGCCTTCAAATCCACCTCTACCCTGTTATCCCATTACATATGAGGTCAGATTTATGTTCTTAAGTCTGTCTTGAAGTATCACTTCCCTACTCTCAAATCTTCAGAGGCCTTTTAAAATGTGCCTTCGATCTTTATTTCCAACCTCATTTCCTATGACTTCCAGCTGCACCTCCTCTTTCTCAAGCCTGCATGGTATAGCTCCCTCCCAACCTTCTCCCATTGTCCCCTTTATCTCTTTGCTCTGCATGGCTTGTTACAGGACCTGACTTCTGTCCCACGTTAGTTAGCTGTGTAATCTATATCAAATTATTCTTCCTCTCAGAGCCTCTATTTTCTTATATGTATATATCAGACAGAGAGACAGACTGAACTAGGAGACTTCTTCTTAGGGTCCCTTTCAACTTTATCATCATGTGGGTCAACATCAGCCTTAACTTTTTCCTTGGCTGCCCCAGGACACAGAGCCCTTTTCTCATTTGTGTTTCTACAGCATCGAATACCATTCTATACCATTCATTGTTTGGGGTTTTAGTTAACTTTTTTATGTCCTATCTTCAACTACTTTTTGAGGATACATTTGTAAATAGAGAAAGCCCATTGGTAGAGCTAATTTGTTTCCCTAGGACAGTGATGGCGAACCTTTTGAGCTCAGCGTGTCAGCATTTTTAAAAACCCTAACTTAACTCTGGTGCCGTGTCACATATAGAAATTTTTTGATATTTGCAACCATAGTAAAACAAAGATTTATATTTTTGATATTTATTTTATATATTTAAATGCCATTTAACAAAGAAAAATCAACCAAAAAAATGAGTTCGTGTGTCACCTCTGACACACGTGTCATAGGTTCGCCATCACTGCCCTAGGATGTGGGTGAGGGAGAGGTCTATTGAGTGTCTTCTTGTGTCTAGAAGCTGGGAAGAGATGGGAGTCAGAAAGATTGTCCCTTGATGGGGAATAAAATGTTTGTTTGAGAACCTGGCACATATTAATGTCGGGCTGAAAGAAAATAATTTTTTCTGGGCTACTGTGAGGCTGCTGGATCTGCGCTGACCCTGTGGGTTGGCCTTTCAATGCCATCCTTTCAGAGTGTCGGCTACCTGGCATTGAGGGTTACAATGATCACTTCATCTTCCACTGTGCGTTTCAGGGCCCTGTTTGATTATGACCGGACACGGGACAGTTGCCTGCCAAGCCAGGGGCTCAGCTTCTCCTATGGTGACATTCTGCATGTTATTAATGCCTCTGATGATGAGTGGTGGCAGGCAAGACTGGTGACCCCACATGGAGAAAGCGAGCAAATCGGTGTGATCCCCAGTAAGAAGAGGTGAGTTGTCATGATCACAAGAGAGGCCTTCCTCATCCTTTCCTTGGTACTGATTTCTTTTTTGCTGATTATACTGTAAGTTGCTTGCAAAGGGTTTGCTTCATTATTCCTTTTTGGTAGAGAGTTGGTACTCAGGACATGGTTATGACTCAATGAACCAAAAGGAGGCTGCTGTGTCCATTGCAATCCACTGCTGAGACTATGCACTGGCAGTAATAGGACTTGTTTCTGTTTCCAAAACAGGGTGGAAAAGAAAGAAAGAGCTCGATTGAAAACCGTGAAGTTCCATGCCAGGACGGGCATGATTGAGTCTAATAGGGTAAGTGGGGATCCCCAAGGGAGTCAGCCAATATGTGAAGAGGAGTAAGAAGCTTGGAGTCTGTGTGGTGGATAAGAGAACTGGGGACAACAAAAGAATCCCTTTTTGTCAGGGGCTGGCTCTGTCCTATCAGCATACTGACTGCTTTTCTGAGAACAGAGAGAGGGCCCTCAAACTCCCCAGCCCGTGTGTGTGCTCCTTTTCCCGGGGAACTGGTTCTTGATGTGGTGGAGTCGGAGTGTCTGCAAGGCTGACTGGCTTGGGGCACATGAAACAACTGTGGGTGTCTCCCTGGCTGCAGACACTGTTGGAGCTGTGGGGACCCTGAACAGAATCTGGCCTCATCATCTAGTCAGGGAGGCAGCCCCACAGCTCTGACTGCCCTTCAGACCAAATGAGGATCGAGGGCTCTTTCCATTCACTCCTGTTCTTCTATGAGCTTCACAGGCCAAAGAAGTTCCGATGGCAGCAGTAGAGGGAAGTTATCAGTAGCATCTTAGGGCATGTGTCCAGGTGGTTACAGTGACCTTTGTGCTTTAGGAAGTAGCAGTGAGTGCTGAGAGTCTGGATTAGGTAGAAACGTCTAACATCCCTACAACATTTTCCTGTAAACATAATTTTCCTCTTACATCAACTTTCATTTAATCTCATAGACTCCATTTGTGAAAAATGGTCTTTTATTTAGCTCGCCATTGTCTCCATTTTAGTTTTTCTTGCATGCTTTAAAATCCATTGTTTTGTTTTTCTTCTTCTGTCCTTCCCCTCCATCTTCATGTTCTTTCACAGTCGATCAAAACGAAACGTAAAAAGAGTTTCCGCCTCTCTCGAAAGTTCCCATTTTACAAGAGCAAAGAAAACATGGCCCAGGAGAGCAGCATACAGGAACGTAAGTAGCAGCAGGGTACAGAGAGCAGCTGGCGTGCAGCCCCGCCCTCTTTCTCATTTGCACCTCCCCTTGTGAGAGGACTGGGAGCGTGTGTGTGCTGGCGTGTCCATGTGTGCATGCGTGTGCATGTGTACCTGCTTGTTGGCAGAGTCAGGGTAGCAGTTGGTCTGCACAGGGAGACATTGGGTCTTTTTGTCCAGCTCGTCACTCTAAAGGAATGTTGGAGGCTCTGAGTAGAACTGGTTCCGGGGCTGGCCTCCTAGAAAGTCCTGGTGCTGGTATTGGGAGTGCCAGGCTGAGCTCTGCTGTGGTGGTGATTCTCAGCCACAATGCCAGCTTTGGAAAACTGGATTTTCAAGAGAACCAGGTCTAGGGACTCAGTGTTGCTCTCCTTGGCTTCCTCCTCTTGTGTTTTCTTTCCCTTAACTTCACTTACCTATATCAAGAGAAGAGCCTTTTCTTCACTGGACACCTGGAATTGGGCCTACTTCTTGAATCACACACACGTGCATTCACACACAGGATGTCCACGTGGCTCTAACAAACCCATATTGTCCCAGAGTGATTACAGAGCCAGCTTTCAGAATAAAAACCTTCCTGAAGGAATTGACATGGAAGGGGAACTACTCAGCATTGTCCAAATAAAGATTTGAGAAATATGAAGCTGCTTTGGTAGAAAAGACCATATAACTGAGCTAAATGAACTTTAATAAAAATTTTCACCTGAGGATATGTGTTGTTGTTGGTTTTTTTTTTAATTTCTAGAGAGAGAGGGAGGGAGGGAGGGAGAGAGAAAGAGAAACCTTGATGTGAGAGAGAAACATTGATAGGTTTCCTTCACGTGCCACAACCAGGAATTGAACCCACACCCTTTTGGTGTAAAGGATGACGTTCCAACCAACTGAGCCACCTGGCCTGGGCTAACTGAACTTTTTATGAACCAGTTTAATCCTGAGAATATCCATATTCTGACATATGCCTTAGAAATTAACTGTTCTGACCTGTCAGGCTGGTGAAATATTTCTCATGTGGTTCATGGTGAATTATAAACCTCTCTTCTGCCTCACAGGGAGGGGTCTTGGGGTCCTGCGCTATTGGGACTGGCTAGTTCAGATAGGGAATGCCCTTTTTCTAGGCCAACCTGATTCATGGTCATGGTGTATGTAGGTCATTGCTATCTAGGGTAGTTGCTAGGAAAGACAAGGACACCTTCATCCAGATGAAGGGTATGGCTCACAATCCCAGGGAGCTCAGTAAGAACACTAGGTGTAGTTGGTTCTGCTTGTGAGCAGTAGGAGATGGTCACCACAGTTCACCAGATGAGTCCCAGAACCTCTGCATTGAGCCTGGAGGGGTGCACTGTTGAGTGGCCCAGCTGACGGGTAGTTTACCTGTTGGGTAAGAGATGAAGCTGCCTAGTGCTTATCCTCTGAAAGCTGAGCTCAACCCCCATGGTCTACACAACTCAGGTCAGCTTTGAAGGCCACTCAGACTGCATGAAGCTTTCCCTGAAGGCGTTGGGCAGAGGGAATCAGTATTGGGGGAAAGCTCCTTGGGATGATGACAATTCTACCTGCCTACCTGCCAAACATAGGTGTTTGCTCTTCATGCACTACAGAGGGAAATGGTGATTTCAGGGGCAAAGCAGAGACCTAACTCTATAAAGACAAATTTAGTTAAGGCATGTGCTCCAAGCCTTGAAATGTCACCTGCCCTGTTGGCCTGTAGGCTGTAGACCACCTGAGATAGTCCCCTCCAAGTCCCTCTAGCAGCAAATGAAGTCCAGGTATCTTATTTGACCTGGGACGTTCTTTCTATAGCAAAGTTCTTAACCTCACTATAGCTATAGGTCTTCATAGTGTTTCATACTTCTGTCACTAATGCTCACCTGGCTCTGTATTCTTCCTTCCCCTGTCTTTTTTCTCTATTTTCTCCCTCCTT